TATATTGTATTATAATTGTTTTTAGGGAGTTTATTTCCACAACTGATGCTTTCACATTTGTAAAAATTTGTCCCTGTAGGGTCAATCGGAAACGCTCATGGCAATTGACTCTGTGCTTTTTGCCATTTACATCACTGTGTCACAACCTCCATATAAATGCATGACTTAATGCACAAATGTGCAGCGTTTGTACATGCAAAAACGCTCTCGCCTAGGTGTGAATCAGGCTAAGATTTTTTTATCATGATTCACTTTTTTGTCTATTTTAAAGCCCAACTCCTCCTAAAAATATATTTTGTGTTGGGGCAGGGTGGGGATAGGTAAGAATCTCTGCCAAATTTTTACTACTGTCAGTGCATTCCTATCCTGTTGACAGCTGTACACATCCATTTCTTGCATGGGCGTAACAGAAAGGTAAGGACAAATTACCCTAGAGAGGTCACATAAATAAAAAACTGACAGAACATATTCTTTCTGGAGATAGTCTTTCATGTGTTAAATAAATGATACATCAGCTAAGTACTTAGTAGGTAGAAATGTTTTGTTATTTCCTAAAGTCTAAATATTAGGTAGCCTTGAGCGCATGGCCTCTTTGAAGCCAACATGGGACCTTCACATAACAAATATGTCTGTACAAGTCAGCAACATAAATAAAATGCAACAAATTTCAATCAGTTGCATAATAATACTCATATCATTATGGTGCCTGTTAAAGTGATTTCTCAATTCATTTATTTCAATATCTACTATTTTATGGTAAGTAATTGAATTGCTTCAAGCACAATCCTCTTATCTAATTTGTAGACTGTCACTAATCCAATCATATATCAAATGATAAATTGATACATGAACTAAACAGTTCACACTTCCATTTTAGCAAAGTTGTTAATGAATAACATTAAAACTCAGGGATCCTATGCAGTAAAATGTGGGTGGAGAAAAAGAGTGCAAATGCAATTCTAGGACTAAACTTTATAATAGCATTGCTCCTCTGTTTCTGCATTTAGAAAGACTCCCTTTAAAGCCTTGAATTATTGGTGTTATTTTGCCTTAAATAAACCATTTACTTTGGTTTCATACCTTAGTATGTCTCAATACCATTGACTGGTTTAATAATTTCAGCCAGCATACAAAAGGTTCATCAGATTATGTGAAATAGTACATTTACTTACAATCTATGTAATTTGCAAGGTTTTCTTTAAGGTAACTATAATCATTGCCCCCATATTTTTCCATAACTTTTACTTTTATATATTAAAACAAGAAACATCTCCAGAGTATCACTTAAGATTAGCTTCCATTTAAGCATAACTAAACCAAAGAACTAAAATGAGATGGCTGTAATTGTTTTTATTTTTAGGATAAACATATTTTCAGCAAGTACAGAACATATCTGCTAATCTTGCCAGAAATGCATTATCTTTGTCACTTTCTGTGAGCTACACTAAAAAGGAAAAACAATCTTATGTTTCTACTGTAAAATACAAATCCCATCAATCCAGCATGTAATGTAGAAGAACAATGGCAGAACATGTTAGAAGCCCAGCCTGGATGGCTACCATGGTTCCATCCACAGAGACAGTGGATGGAATAGCCCATACAGCTGAAGGCGGGCGAGTGGCTCAGCTGAGCCGAAGGCATATGCTTGGCTCAACTGAAGTGACAGCCGAAGCGGGGCAAATGGCCTGCTGAAGGCCGACCGTTCGCCCTGCAAAGGACAGCTGGGCAGAGGCAGCCGTGATCTCATGGCTGGCTCCACCCAGTTGTAATGACAGATCAGCACCCTGGGGCCAATAGGAAACAGTTGGGCGGGGCTAGCTGTCACTGCTAGCTCTGCCAAATTTCTTTCTTTCGTTTTTTTATTTTTTTATTTCCTATTTGCTTTCATTTGTAAAATAATTTGGCAATGGTTTTATTTTTTTTTCATATTCTTTTAAATTCTTTTTTATTCTGCTTGGTAACCTCGGAGGCATTCGGCTATTCACTCACTGCCATCCGGCCCCTATAAGAATAGGGGCGAACGGCAGTGAGTGAACTTCCGGAGCTTTGGCTCAGCTGATCTAGATATTGGATTGGCTGAGTCGAAGTCCCTCTGCACTTCAGCTGCAAAGCATGATGTACGGCTGATTTCAGCCGAACCAGAGTGTATGGCCCCTATGTTGGGTGTGACGTCATAATGGAGTTTTTGGCATCTGGCGAGGAGGCATACATAAGGGGGTTGAGAGAT